GGAATTCATTCTGAAATGCTAGAGGTACGAGTATTATAAAAACTATTTCTGTCTCATACTAAAAAAAATTGGGCGTGTTCGGCCGAAGTAAGTACTTACTAAACTTAGTAAGCCAGTAAGCATAAAAAAATTAAAGTCTTACAAGCTGACTGTAGCGCTTTTCGGCCAGGACAGACTTACTGGCTTATTAACATAACACAAAACACCGGTTTATGTCATATCCCGTACATAACCTCATAGACTGAATATAATTGACAGTACTAAATTTAGGAATATAATTTAATACCTGTGAATAGTTTCAAATGGATAATTTTATGAGAAATATTTTATTGGATATTTTATTGTCCGTTTTGTTTACATCAACAATAAGCAAAATGGCGTCGTATATTAAGCCATACTTACTGCGTTAGCACTTATTTTGTGTCCCGGCCGAAAATTTTGTAAGCATAGTAAGTGACTTACTAAATTTAGTAAGTACTTACTTCGGCCGAACACGCCCATTGTATATGAAAGTATGAAGTATGTTTATGTTGTCCAAACAAAATGTATATTTTTTTTCTCATTCATTCTAAGACGCGTATTTCGCTGCATGCCCGGATATTTCCGACATGCCTTTTTTATATAGAGCTGAGGACAAACGGGCAGGAGGCTCATCTGAAGTGGACACAATGCCAGATGCCTCGCGAGTGCGTTGCCGGACTTTAAACTACGTTAATATCTTCTATCTATACCCCAACATGAGTTTTAATGCACAATTTAAATATATAACGCTATAACCCTTTATAAGACACATACTCAAACTCAAACTCAAACTCAAAATATCTTTATTCAAGTAGGTAACCAAGTACACTTTTGAATCGTCAAGTTAAATTAATCGTAAATTTACATTTACTACCAGTTCGCAAGTCAAGGGCGTAGAGCGGGTAAGAAGAACTGGCAAGAAACTTTCCGCCACTCTTTTTAATCGCCAAGTATTGTCATACAAATTGTTTGAACTGGAGCAATTCAATCCCAAGGATTAGGATCATTTAAGTAGTCCTCAAATTTATAAAAAGCTTTGTTGATTAATTTTCGTTTAACGAGGGCTTTGAATTTATTTAGTGATAATTCTCTAATTTCGCTTGGGAGCTTGTTGTAAAAACGAATACAATTTCCATATAAGGAGTGGTTTATCTTTTGGAGCCTGGTTGGTCGTACACTCAAATTAGTTCTATTTCGCGTATTATACTGGTGAAAGTCACCATTTGTTTTAAAATCGTTTATATTTTTTTGGACATACAACAAGGCTTCAAGAATATATTGACCAGATAGTGTCATAATATTTAATTCCTTAAACTTATTCCGTACCGACTCCCTCGGAGAAACACAACAAATACCCCGAACAGCCCGCATAGTAACATTCATTATGCTACAGTCTGAATTTGAATGCATAACCATACGGTTGAGAGTCACGCTTAACCACTAAGTCTCCTCTTTCAAGTAGTATTAGATAAAAACCAGATTTATTTCTAAATACAGACCATACAACATATCACAATCATGCAATATTTGTTCATATAACTTTGGTATAACTATGGAATTTATAAAGAAACGACACCAAAAAATTGTCATATCTTAACGAGCTGTTACAACATCAGCTCCTTGTTTGTGTAGCTAAACCATGTTTTACCTACTTTAGTCAAGGTATTCATATATCTAATAAGACGGACATTCCGATAAAAATATTAATTGCTAAAGAGTACGAACGGTAAAATGTAAAAACTGAGAACACTATAAACCTAATAAGTAATTCACCTCGATATCGACATACTAGCTTTTTCTTAAAATTTATATAGTAAAGTGGTCTATCCCGGTTTCGCGCAGTTGGACTTTAAAATATTTTAAAAATAAATATAACCTACGTTACTAAGGGATGAAGCTTGTGCAGTGTTGGCTTTCTCCGTACGACTCAGCCTCAAGGTCCTATGTATATGCGCATTGAACACTTGCTCGTACAGTAACAGAAAACATCTTGAGAAAACCGGCATGCTCTAGACCCAAAATGTCGCCTGTGTGTGTCAGGACAGTTTATCGCCTACCAGCCTATTAGACAAAACAAATGATCACCAAAAGAGGCCCAGAACTTATAGGTTGTAGCGTCATGTTTGTGGGATAACTGTGAAAGATTGTTTTTTATTTAATTATACACTTATATACTACGAATAGTATCTTAAAAGAATAAGGGTCGGTTTCACAATGTACGGATAAGTTCTACATAAGTTCCAAATTAGCTATTTATTACTTATTGGTAGGATAAACACTATTGTTGCGTTTCACGATTGTCAGATAGCGCTATTCGTCACATAAAGTCCATCATAAGCTATGAGTCCGATGAAGTGTCAAATAGCACAATTTATCTTCCAAATAATTTGTGTTGCATAGCTATTTGGTACTTTATCCATACATTGTGAAACAGACCCTAAATGTATGAACGCGTGTATAGTACTATAATCTACTAGTGGACCCCACAGACGTTGTCCTGCATGATATTTAAAGCGATTAGGATATTAAGCAAAGTATGAAAGTACCGACTGCAGTGCCATCTGCCGGGCTGATTTGTGAATATAAACCATTCCCAGATCCCCTTGAACACACACAAAAAATTTCATCAAAATCGGTCCAGTCGTTTGAGAGGAGTTCAGTCACATACACACGCACAGAAGAAATATATATTATTAAGATATACGAATCACAAATCACCGTCGTGACAAATATTTGGGTGATTAATCTCAGTTGCCATCCCCAAACCACTATAGTCTCCGTAAGTACTTCATACATAACTAATTAGGCAACGGAGATTGTAAAATTATTTTTAATATTCAGAATAGACACATAAGTAACCTAATAACGTGTAATTTAATTATCGAAAAGTACTGCTGCATTTCTTCATGGATTTATGTAATATACTACCAAGAACTCAGACCGGTGAGTTATAAGAAACAATTAGAAGATGATACAGTAGTGTGTTAGTTACAATGGGAAAAATCTCATGTACTGCAAAATGAGAGAACACTTTAAAGATAAGGCGATTGTAACTTTGGACACCTGCGCTCCTATCGTAACTATACAAGTATATTGTTTCAAGCAGGACTATTGCGTAAAGCGATACTTTCAACGATTGACTTCTATTAAATGTTGTATGTTCATAAAGACAATATTATCATTGATAAATAAGTAAATTTGTTCGACCTGGTGGGCAGAAAAACTATGTACTACGTACTTTATTTCTATAAACTTAATTATAAATAAAAATTACAAATAGCCATATCTAAAAATTGGCTCCTGTTAATATCTTCTAAATCACAGACTTGTTAATACAAATACTATTTAAAATTGAAACACGATTGATATTAGGCATCTTTTGCCGCGCACCACCACTTTGTGGAACCAGCTGCCCACTGAAGTATTTCCGAACCAATTCGACTTAGGGTCCTTCAAGAAAAGAGCGTACCAATTCTTGAAAGGCCGGCAACTCACTTGCAAGCCTTCTGGCAGTGGGTATCACTTAACATCAGGTGAGCCTCCTGCCCGTTTGCCTCCTATTAGATAAATAAAAAAAAATTACATAAATTACCGAATGTAGATGCTTCAATTTCGTTATATATAGGTTTATTATAATAATTGGCAATAATTTATACAATTATTATGATCTAAAACTAGATATAGTTATTTCGAAAATGTTTAGTTTTTTTTGTAAACCAGCCTAAGGGACGCCCAAAAAGGGCAGCCTACGGACACCCATCTTAGTTAATGCCTTGCCGGCCTATGAGGGAGGAGTATAACTCGTCGTTAAGGTTACAGAGTAGGCCTGCCACTTCGCATTGTACGTATATGTTGTCGTACCGCGCAACTTAGTCTAAGCTCCTGTTATTAACGTCGATCGTAATGTCAGTAAATTATACAGGAATAATTACTACCACCCGTAACCCGAAGGAAACTGCGACTTGCAATTTAATATAGCCTTTTTACAAGCGGTAATAAGTGGTGTCGTAAAATATGGAGTCGCTGGAATGTTAATTATACGTGAGCAAACTAAACATTATTAAATGTGAAACTGGTCAACTTATTACTGGTGTAAAATGTATTAGCAATTGTACTCGTTCAAGAAAAGCAAGCAAGGATGGGAATGCCTTAATAAATTCTTTTAAAAATAGAATCGACTCCGAAATTCAATAATTCTTGATCTTGTATTTCATAGAGAATTAAATATATGAAATGGTAATTAATTTATTTATATACGGGATAGGATAGTTATTAGTCAGAGACAAGCCATAATGTATCGATTTCGATAGACAATAGATGTGCTACCGATCTAGACATCCACATTTTATTATGCAAAGAGTTTTCTATCTGATTAGAAAACCCTTATATGACATATTGCTTGAAAATACACACAAACACGACGATTTGATCCTCCTTTATTTTTTTTTAAGTTAAAAATTATCAGTGATACAGATGTAAAAATGTGTCTGCCTTATTGCCCTTTTAAGGGCGACAGGTGTTTAATTCGAGGCAATAGTGAACCAACAATAGGTTAGCTCACATTTAAAACTGTTTAAATAATTACTGATTTCAAAATGTTGAATAGAGTGTAAATCTTCTTATATTAAAAACTGTGTGTGTTGATTGTAGGGTCTATGGAATTGTATATTTTAGAAAGTCTTACTAGCAGAACATTATCCCTGAGTGACAGGATTTTCACACTATAATTAAGACAGACAAATAAAGAATACACCTGGTCCTCAGATTTCTGTATCTGTTTCTGATTAATTAGCAATTAGTTATCAGCCTTTCGTGCTGTACTTCGACGGTTTTTGGGTTACAGGCATTATATTTTTCGTAAGCGTACGAGCAAACGTCAATTGCGCACTTTAAAAAAATGCATTGATATACGCGATGTAGCTTCGCGTACAAAGCTAACACGATCAGATAGTAATTAATACTTAATTTCTTTGTTTTAGGTGGTTTTGTCATTTCGACGACGACAATTATGTGAATGTGCCACGACTTGTCAGCGTACTCCAGACTTATAACCACAAAGAGGACTGGTATCTGGGTAGAACATCTGTTTACGAACCAGTCAAGATATTTAAGAAGCCAACTAATAAGGTAACTAAACTATACAAGCAATATATAATCTAATATATAAAATTCTCGTGTCACAATGTTTGTTACCATACTCCTTCGAAAGGGCTCGATTGATTCTTATGACATTTTTTATGCATATTCAGTAAGTCTGAGAATCGGCTACTATCTATCTTTCATACCCCTAAGTGATAAGTGGTGTCCACCCCAAAAAAATGTAGACAACAAAAATACATACAACCCTTAATTTTCACCTCTTTACGATCAAGGCCTATTTTTTATTATAGTAGATAGTTATTTTTATTGAACTAAAAAAATGTTTCCTCAAAATAATATACATGGCAAAACAACGTTTGCCGGGTCAGCTAGTATAATTATAATATATAGCCTAACTGAAACTACAGTCAAAATCTATTATAACGACATCGATGATCGAAGGTACTACTCATAATTGGGCGTAAAAACCGATAGTCGTAACAGCCGATGAAGTTGTTATTAAGTACCTAATACTTTAACCCGCCGGGACCTTTGATTTTGGTCAATATAACCGGTATGTTGTTCTAAACGATGTCGTCGTAAACGGTTTTGACTGTACCTACTAAAAAAAATTATTTGTGCTGTAAAAAAATATACATACATTCATCTATCAGTGTTCCCAAAACAAAGATCCCTACTCTGACACCAGGGCAAGCCTCCGGAATCTGAATTATTTTCAGGCACATACAGTCTAACCATTCCGGAGGTAGACCCATGCAGTCTATTCTATGCCTCAAAACATTTAGTGCAAAGTAGATTGTTGGCTGGCATACATCTTTACACCCGTTTAAAAAAATATTAATGACATACACGCAGATGTATCAGCCCTATATGGGATTGCGGTACTACTAACAAGGGAATGTCACCGTTCAAAATTTCACAGATATGGCAAAAGAATATTTTTTTCTTAGTCTGTGCTATTTGTTACAGCTAATGTTCTCATTTTGGTTTGCCACCGGAGGTGCTGGATTTTGTATCAGTCGGAGCTTAGCATTGAAAATGTTACCTGTAGCAAGGTGAGTTCCTTTTTTGTTTTTGGCCGCCTACGTTTTGTAAGAAAAATTAACAACTCTTTTTTATTTTTAAACCGAAATGAATATGAAAAAAAAAAATTATCTAACTAACGAATGTGTTCATATGGCTGAAAGATAACTAGATTATGGCAACAAATTTTGTCATAGATAATAATAATTTTTGTTATAATCTTATTTTACTCTTTTGTTTAATGATTTTTTTTTTACTTTTTTATAAGTACAATATATTTGTATGACTTAGGTTCGGTGAAATACTTATAACACTGAATGCTTATGGCACGTTTATGATAGTATTAAATGGCAACATTCACACTCCAAATTAAAAAAAAAAACGAAGTAGACTTGCACCATACTCGGGACAACATTCGGTACTTTAGACTCGTAAAAGTGAATTTGCAATAAGGTACAAATACCGGCAAACATCTTGAACAAATGTCCTTGCCTGCGCAGAAGCAATATTTAGGTATCACTGGGGCGGAGGGCGGTGGTGCGCGGCGGCGCGAGAGTGACGTGTCGATCGCGTGATTGGCAAATCAGTTGACGTTTGTGTCCCGCGATGCGCACTTTCCCCCACTCCCTTGTTTAATGCTCAAGAAGTTTGCCGGTATCTTTATCATTGAAAAAAAAAATTAAAATTAAATATTAATACATCATATGTGTAAATAAAAAAAATCACAAAATATGTTGCTATGAAGTTACTAATGGTAGACTAAGAAAAAAAGTCATATTAAGGCGGAACGAAGCTCGTGGAGGCAGCTAGTTTAGTATAATTTAATTCAATTGTTTTATTATAATTCCTTTGTTTTAGTGGTGGAAGATTTATCAGCATCTGCGAAGGAATCAGATTGCCTGATGATGTATCTGTAGGCTTTATTATAGGTAAGTGTTTTCTATGTTTGTCAGTTAATTAATAGATTTGCTTACTCTTGCGATTACCGCCTCTGTGTATTGCCTAATTAATAGACACCAATGATCAAACGTACTCTGAGTTGTCCATTAAATTATCTGTTATAGTAGATTAAGTAATTATATACACGAAATTTAAAGACTGATCTTGTTTAAAAAAATATGCCTTAAGTGACCGTTAATAAACGACTCTAGGTATAGTTAATTATTAATTGTTGTAGGTTTTGTAACTACCTATTTAATATATACTCGTACATAGTGTCAAAAAAGGTTTCGGTATGTAAATATGTATGATGGATTAAAATGTCAAACAAAAAGCTGGCACTGCAAGCGTTAGCAAATTTCTTACAATCATATTCCATAGTATTGTCTTTTATTGACATAACCTTTACCCATAACTTTAATCCGGTTAAAAAGTTTTCTTTAAATCATATTCCATGGTTTGTTAATGATAGAGATCAAAGCTTAGAAGCTTAGTTCAAGTAAAATTACCAATGACATTGGACCGTATTTATGTCTCATATACGGTATAATGAAAAGTCAGACAAACGTACTGATCATATGCGTTTTTTTCTAATAGAACATCTGATGAAGAAAAACCTAACTCTAGTACCAGAGTTTCATTCACACCTTGAACAGATGAAGCTACTGCCACCGGAGACCTTCAGAGACCAGATCTCTTTTAGTTATTCGAAGATTAAAGAAGAATGGAACGTCGTCAATGTTCCTGGATTTGACACTAGATATGATCCAACTAGGTGAGTAAAATATTTACAAATAGTAAATTTATAGGACGGCAACGCATCGGCTATCGCGTGTCCATGGGCTGCAGTACTTTATGTCAGTAGTGTATGGCTCTTCGGTAGGCTCGTTTATTTATTTATTTATTTATTTATAAAAGCTTGCCAACGCTTGGCACATTAATACATTGACAGAAGAAAAATAAAATACAGTTTTCAATGTGTCAAACACTTACTGGCAAACATAGCATACAAGAAGTAATAAAATTAATTAATCAAAACAATAATAAAATTTAAACAAACACTAAACGAAAATCGCTCTCAAAGTCTGAGGTGAGCAACTATGGATGTCCAGATCCAGCACGTTTAATAGAAGCTCAATCTGGACATCGGTGAATTTCGGCCAAAACGCGTTCTCCGGAAAGGAGGGATAAAAGGAAGGATGGGCTGTCTGGGATATCTATTGGGTACACGGAATTGAAATTTTATGTTATTACAAACAAAACAAAACTTGACCACAAGTCAAGCAAATAATACTATTCAAATTAACGCACTTAATACGACCTTTAATTATGCTCGTTGGACAGGCTTAATTTATAATTATTCACATGTCACAAATAAAACAATTGACGTATTTAATTCAGTAAATATTTTAAGCCGAACGTCAGTGAACTAAGCTAAGCTAAACTAGAACTACGTTGTCCGTCCACCAATAAATAAGCTAAAACACCGTAGTGATGGCCAGTTTGTGCCAGAACGTCGAGTTAGAAGACGACACGAGCAATGACGAGACTTTAGAGGATATGACTTATCCAGTATCAGTCCTGGAAAACAAGTAGCGAATTTGACACTTTGTTTAATGAACTAGACGACGAAAATTTTAAGATTTACTATCGTGTATCTAGACAACAGTTTGATGAGTTACCTACTGTCACAACAATGTCGACAGGCGTCACAGGGGTGAGGCAAGGGGGTGAGAGGCGCTTAGTTTAGCTCAGTTAGTTACGGATCGGCCGCACAACTATCGTACGGCATTTCGGCAGCTTAGCTGGCATAGTTTGCGGTGGACGCACATGTATGAAAAACTGGCTCAACTATGCGAGCTCAGCTAAACTAACTTAGTTTAGCCGGCGGTGGACGTTCGGCTTTAATGTCAGATACTAGGTAACCCATCATCCCATTTGTCCTACCTTTCAGAAGAACGCATTTTGGCCTCAACTATCTGGTATCCAGACTACATTCTGATAAACAAGCTAGGTCTATATCGATAGTTGCCACACCTTAAAATCAATTTTCGTTTAGTGTTTATAATTAGATTTTTTTGGTTATTTTTTTTAATCTCTTCGTGTTTCTTATGTTTGCTTATATTTGCTTGTCACAATTAATATTGTATTTTATTTTTCTTATACCATTGTATCAGTGTGCCAAGCGTAATTACCATGTTACACTAATTTATTAAATCAGTATACAATATTAATCTTGTCCTACGAAAACATACATGAACATTGAATTATACATCTAACTTATAAAAGCAATGCGTTAGAATTATATTACAACAGCATGGAACAGGTGAACTTATACCCCGAGCAATAAAATGGACAAAATAAAGTTAATCCGAACTAGTGTTTATTCAATTCCAAGACTATGAATTTCTTTCGAAATGCGACCGTCGTAGTTGAGAATTTAAACTTTTGTTTTGTTGCAGGTTCCTGTCTCTACACTGTTTTCTTTTCCCTCATTTCAAGTTTTGCCCGAGGTAGCATTTGCGACAATTTTATTACTTGGATAATAATTGCGACTATTTCTGTCAAAGTTTTCTTTGTGCATTGTTAAATATGGTGCTTTTACTGTTAATGTTCTAAATTTAAATGTGTGCAATTCAAAAATCGAATGCAATACACTTGTTAAAGTGAATCCGAATGTTTCAAATCATTTTCGAATACACAAAGCTTTGAATATAGAAATATTTTATTGAAATTTCGTAAATAATCAAAATATCACAATTTTGTAATGCTCTCTATGGCGTAAGTAACTATTTGTATAAAGTAATTATACAAATAGTTACTTATGAAGCTTTAGGTTGTGATAAATTGTAAGAGATATATTGGTGTATAAAATTCAAGCTAATTTCGCATTTTGAAGTAAAATAAACGTACATATGATATTATTTTTCTGATTTATATTAATCTTTCTTGTGTATTTATTAATTGAAGCTTATTTTATTTCAATCTGTACCATTTGTATTTTTATCTTTGTAAAATTTAATCTGTGATATTAGATTACATTCTTGTAGATATTAATTGTTTTATATCGTGCATATATTTTTAGAAGTTTACTTAAAGTCAAATGTTATGATATTGTTATGATTTGTTTATGAAATAAACAATATAGAACTGATGATTTTGTTTTAATACCCAATACAGTAATTATTAATAATAAGTCCTAAAAAATAACAAGTCACTACGCAAGCAATATTATTGTCTGTATTTAACAGATTATTTCGTTTTTTATTCATGGTATTCGAACTCGAGACATCTACCTGAATCCCTTCTGATAAACAACTGCTGTTACCACGAAATTTATTATCTATTATTCTACAATCAAAAGGTCATTTAGTATCTATGCAAACCCATCACATTGTAGTTTATAGAATACTGTAGAACTGGCACAGTCAGCTGTTTGAACAGGCTGATGTGATATATTCTGGGAACGTGCGGACAGTAACAGGGTCATTAGTTCAATGCAATAGCTCACAGAATTCCAAATTCGAATATGACAATTGTATAGATATCAGCGTATGCGTATTGTATTTATTAGTATAACATGATCCGTCAATCGATATTTCAGAATAATAGCACAAGTTGTAAGACGTAAGCGAGATTGTTAAGGTGAAAAAATATATATTTTTAATATTATTGTATGTATCAAACTCAAATATAAACAATGTTTATACGCACTACTGCTATTACTACTCTGGAGCAGCGACCCAAAGTGAGCCTCGGGCTTCTAAACTAGAGAATTCTTCCGAATGCGCGCTACCGCGAATTGGGCAATTGGAGCTTGCTTAGGTCCTTCTTCACGGCGTCTTTTCAGCGATACCTGGGCCTGCCGACAGGTTGTCGGCCGATCGGTATACCGAGATACGGCTTTTTGGGCTTTGTACTAACTATGTGGGGTTCGCCTATCAAGTCCACGTTACCTGACTCTCCAGCTTCCATCCTCCCTATTTTTTAACCTCAAATTATATTTCATAAAACTTAAACGAAAGCTCAGATACGTTGACGTTCAACAAAAAGTTTAACAAAATCCTTCGTAAAAGAGCTTACTCACTGTGCATTAATAAGAGCTAATTAAGAATAAGCTGCTCGATTCCGCGTGAAATCTCTATAAAAAGTGTTAAATGATTAATTAGCCGAATTGATATGGTCCATTCGATTCACGGTGGCGGGTCCGGAAGCGATGCAAACGAATCCTAATCGATTATTAAACGCATCGTCATTTTACGTAATTACCATTTTTTAAGGAATGTTTAGACTTTAGATCGTCAACCTAGGTGTCCAGTCCTTTGGCACGAACTTTACAAAAGCCGTTAAATATTGTCGAAGAAGTAAGTTTCTAGACTAGACTATTTTTCTCAAGAAAAGGTGATTCAGATTCTCTTTAACCAACAGTTGCAGCGAAGGTGCGATGTGCGTACTAGATACGAACTAGTTTGTTGAAATAATGCTACATGACTTGACAAAATTACTAATATTGTATGTAAATCTGACCCGTCAGCTTTATACATGTAATATATATATGTACACATGTGAATTTTAAAAATCAATCGGCGCAAATATTATTTTCTAATATGTATTCTTAGTACTCATGTATGTGGATCATTATTTGACAGGTAACTAATAATTTAAATTTAGAATTATTAAAATTATAAAATTATCTGTTTCATGATCATTTGTTAGTTGCAAGTAGGTGAACAGCCTCCTGTGCCTGACGCACGCCGTCGACTTTTTTTGTATCTAAGGCAAGCCGGTTTCCTCACGATGATTTCCTTCACCGTTCAAGCGAATGTTAAATGTGCATATAGAAATAAAAGCCCATTGGTGCACAGCCGGGGATCGAACCTACGACCTCAGGGATGAGAGTCACACGCTGAAGCCACTAGGCTAACACTGCTCATTAAAATTATAAGATATATATAATCCATAAACCTCACAACGAAGGGCAGACACAAGAAAATTTGCGTCTGTGTATCAATACTGTTTATCTATTAAAACAGTCTACTAGGTGTTCTAAATCTCGCTGTGTGGCACATTTGAATGCCATATCATATAACTATCAATTCCAACTGGTTCACTAATGGTGCTTAACATAATTAAGCAATCAAGATCACCGGACCACTTATTTTAAAAACGCATTTCTTTGTTCTCTGCAACCCTACTTGTTCAATAGAACTGAGATCTGAACTGAACTGAGAGCCTAATTGTCCAATAGAAATGAGAAATGCTAATAAGATAATAAATTTGATACCGTATCGTATCAAATATGTGTTTTTTGTTTGTAATTAAAACCACTTGGTTATATATTACTCGTAAATAAGTGTTTTTTAGGTATTATATTAAACTATTAAGTATTATAAACTATCTGTAGAACTGTCTAAAGCGCGTTAATGCAGTCATATAATAGTAAGTTACTTACGGCCATCTAGAGATAAAAAAATATATTTTATACTGTTTGATCTTTCGTCTGTGTCTGTCATACTGGCGGCGATTTAGGGTGAGGTTCAGGAAGTAAAGTAAAAAATCATTTAATCATATTATAGGTAACACAATGTACACTTATGAACGTCAAAAAAATAAATGTATATGAAATGCTTCTAATTTTACATTTAGTGCAAGTTCTCAAATCAAGGTTCTCTCCTCCACTCTTTTTAATCGCCAAGTTTTTTTTTACACAACGTTTGTAAGGAGCTGCAACCATTACACCATGTTCCACATGGCATCTTAAGTAATAAATAATAATAACATAAATTAAAAAACAAAGACTTGTCCTCTATCAGCAGGAGGCATGGTGAAATAGGAGCACGCTGCACGAAAGGAGACTTATGTCAAGCGCGAACTATGACTCTCGTATGTCAAAATTAAACATATTTTTGACTTACGGGAGTCGAGTTAACGGTAAGTCCAATCTTAATCTTATCTTAGTGTATAAAAGTGCTTTATAACAAACGGGCAGGAGGCTCATCTGATGTTAAGTGATTACGCCGCCCATGGACACTCACGTTGCCAGAAGGCTCGCAAATGCCTTGCCGGCCTTTTAAAAATTGGTATGTAGTTCTTGATGGAAGTGGTTCGGATATTTCAGTGCGCATCTGGTTCCATATAGTAGTGGTGCACGGCAAAAATTACCTTTAAAAACACTCTTTTGTGAAATGACGGACGTCGATATGATAGAGATAGAGAATATCACCTTATTTTATATATATGATCTGAATTGGTGCGCTCTTTTCTTGAAGGACCCTAAGTCAAATTGGTTCGGAAATACTTCAGTGGGCAGCTGGCTCCACAAAGTGCAAACACTGCTTTAGAATCGCTTGTGGAACGACGGATGTCGATGTGATATAGCGGGAGTTAGAACCCACGAAAGTTTGGACACACAAGCTAAACAAATTGCTTATCATTTGGGAAGGTAAGAAAATAATGAAATTTCTATCTTAGTCTAATAATTTTATGATTAAAGGTTAATTAAAATAAGGTAATGGTCGTCATTGTGTAAAATCTATTTAGGCCGCTTCCAGCTTAATTAAACCATTACACCGCGCCGTCGTTAATCTATGGATTTCAGAGTTATAAATAGCTTTAATACAATCTACTGTCGATTTTAGCGTCCGTGCTAGATTTAAAAAAAAACTACGGTTTGCACTCCGGCATAAGTGAAAACTTGAATATTAACGTTGTGCATTTTTGATATTTTGGAATGGTTAGGGAATAATTTTGCACGAATTGCTTTAATTATCAGTATAAAAGTACCATCATTTATGTGGTAGAATACAATATTTATTTATTGCGCTATCGTACACAAACTGACAATTTATATTACATTAAATACGCCGCGCCAGCTGTCTACTCTCCATCCGTCTTACGAATTTCAATGAATGTCTTACGAAGGTCATGTGTCCTGACGCGAGTTTAAATTTTTTTACCCATTCCAAAAGAGTGTACAACGCCGCTAAAGAAGTTTTCACTTCAAAAACCAGTGGGTCACTACAACCTTTTTTTAGCCTCAGATTTATCGTTAGGATCGCAGAACAATGTCGGATTTGAAAAAAATCCAAAATCTCTTTTTATCATGTTTGGATACTACGTTGACTAAATCTTACGGCTAAATAAAAAAATCTATGTGTTTTAAATTTCAAATTAATCAATCGGTTAAGTGACGGATTTGATAGAAACATGTGATTTTTCTAGAAAACTGTGTAATTTAATGTTATTATTTTTATTTTGTTTCAAAACAAACCCTTTAGTTTGCTTGTATGCCAATTTTTATAATAACAGATCATGAATTAAAATAGTTATGACAAAAACTAACATGATTATATTATTGTGAAATGGCTGCCCTATAAAGTTTACTATTTGTCAGATCCGTCACTATTCTATGACTATGACGTTATGTATCTGTTTCTTGATCATTTGTCAATCTCCTGTGACCTGACACACGTCGTCGGGTCTCAGGCAAGCTGGTTTCCTAACGATGTTTTCCTTCA